ACATTGATACATTTGGGATAGACTTTAGTGACCAGTGTGAGGCTTTTTACTTCATCTCCTAATGGATTTCCAGTTCTCCCAATACCATTTATTAAATAAGCTATTTTTTTCTTTTGATTTGAAGTTTTATCACTATCACATCTTAATTTTTGTGCAAGTAGACGTTTTTCTAGACTTTTTAGACCAGGGATTGCCAGCTATACCCTGTGAGCCAAATTTGGCCTGCTGCCCATTTTTGTTAATAACATTTTATTGGAGCACTGACATGCCTGTTCATCTTCACGTTGTGTCTGGCAGCTTTTGTGTTAAAACAGCAGAGTTGAGTAGTTGCAACAGACTTTATGGCCCACAAAGTCTAAAATATTTACTGTCTGGTCCTTTACAGGAAATGTTTGTTGACTCCTGCTCTAGACTGTTCTGTTTCGTTAATTTATATACCTTTCTATGACTAATTGTGACATTTGCCGTAGGTTTTTGGTGTTTGACTGATGATTTTAAGAAAATGTCCTTAAGTTTCTAGCTTACCAGTTAGTTTCTTTTCTTTCTTTCTGTTTTTTTTTTAAGTTGGAGTCTCACTCTGTCACCCAGGCTGGAGTGCAATGGCATGCTCACGGCCACCACAGCCTTGACCTGCTGGGCTCAGGCCGTCCTTCTGCTCCAGCCTTCTAAGTAGCTAAAACTACAGACGTGAGCCACCATGCCCGGCGAATTTTTTTATTTATTGTAGAGATGACGTCTCGCCAAGTTGCCCAGATTGGTCTCGAACCCGTGGGCTCAGGCAATCCTCTTACCTTGGCCTCCCAAAGTGCTAGGATTATAGGTGTGAGCCACCACGCCTGGCCCTTTTCTCTCTTCTTAACCAAAAAACAAATGTAGAGGTATTAATAGTTTAAATTTATTTTGTATCTGGAGACAAGCAGATACTTTTTATCTCTTTAATTAAACAAGCAGATACTTTTTATCTCTTTAATTAAACTATAAAGTTTGTTAATTATATTATTAGGTTTTGAAATGTGAATGACCTTTTTATTCCCAGTTAATCACATTTTATTGTATCAAAGAATTATTTTCATACTTGGTTGAATTCACATTTATTTATAATACCTATATTCATTAGTGATTTATGGCCTTGAACAAGAGTGGGATACTATTCTAATCTGATTGAATTATCAGGATTATGTAAACCTAGGAACATAATCAAGGCTATGTTCTGGGGTTGTAGGAAGCTCTCCATCTTTTATATGCTTAAACTACACAAATTCTTGAATACTTAGTAGACATTTTCTTTTTTTTTTTTTTTTTTTGAGTTAGAGTCTCACTCTGTCGCCCCAGCCTCGACCTGCTGGGTTCCAGCGATCCTTCCGCCTCAGCCTTCCAAGTAGCCAGAACTACCAACACGCGCTACCATGCCCGGCTAATTTTTTATTTTTATTGTAGAGACGAGGTCTCACCAAGTTGCCTGGGTGGATCTCGAACCCGCGGGCTCTGGCAGTCCACTCACCTCGGCCTCCCAAAGTGCTGGGATTACAGGCTGAGCCACCAAGCCCGGCTAACGTTTTCTATAGCAATCTGGGATTGGCATATGTTAGAAATGGTCTTTGTTTGCCTTTTCCATTTCTTTTACAGTTATTGATCTATTTAGGTTTTTTCCTTTTTGTAATTTTTTTGGTAATTTGTATTTTTCTTGAAAAATCATCAATTTATTTAGATTTTTACATTTATTAAGGAAAGTTATAAGACTGCTAGGCATGTTGATGTCTCCTGTTGTCCCAGCTAGGGAGGCTGAAGCAGGAGGATTGCTTGAGACGAGAAGTTCAAATCCAGCCTGGACAATACAGTGAGACTCTATCTCTTTAAAAATATATTAATGAATTTAAAATTTTAAGAAATTTTAACCCAGTTTATTTATATTTTTAAAACCTCTATATCTGTTGTTATATCTCTTCTTCTCATTCCTAAATGTTTGTGTTGCTTTTTGTTTTTTTTAAATTAGATTTGCTAGTGGTTTATTATTCTATTAGTGTTTTCAAATAACCATTTGTTAATTTTATTGATTATTTTTCTTTTTAGTTTATTTTCTTAGGCTCCATTTCTTTAATTTTTTCCCTTTTTCTATTTCTTTCTTTCTTTTTTGGGGGGGGTTGGAGTCTCACTCTGTCGCCCAGGCTGGAGTGCAGTGGCACACTCAAGGCCACCCCAGCATTGACCTGATGGATTCCGGTGATCCTTCTGCCTCAGCCTTCCAAGTAGCCAGAACTACAGGCACACTACCATGCCTGGCTAATTTTTATTTATTTATCGTAGAGATGAGGTCTCACCAAGTTGCCCAGGCTGGTCTCAAACCCTCGGGCTCAGGCAATCCACTCACTTCAGCCTCCCAAAGTGCTGGGATTACAGGCTGAGCCACCAAGCCCAGCCTTATTTCTTTTAAACTTCCAATGGGTTGAATACTTTTTCTTGCCTTTTCTAACTTTTAATAATTTGAATGCTTATTATGTTTATTTATTTTCAGTTTTACTGCCTAATAAATTTTTTCACATTGTCCTCTGGTCATGGCTTTGGCTATATTCCATAGGTTTTGGTATATAGTGCTTTTATTGTCATTTGTTTCTATTTTCTCTTTAATCTAAAAGTAATTTGGTACAATTTTTTAAAAAGTTTCCAAGTAGAAGTTTTTGTTATTGTTGGTAATATCTAGTTTTATCATATTGTGGTCAGAAAATGGTTCATGGAGGTTATTTTTGTGTCTATTTCACAGTTAATTTTTGTGATTATTCCATAGATTATGACTGTGTGTCCTTGCTTGTGTGGGGTACAAAGTTCTTTATCTAATAAATCAATTTTTTAAATTATTAATTGTTTTTTAGAGATGGGATCTCACTATGTTGCCCAGGCTGGACTTGAACTCCTGGGCTCAAGTGATCCTCCCACTTCAGCTTCCTGAGTAGCTAAAATTATAAGCACATGCCACCACACCTGGCTAATTAAATTTTTTTTTTGTACATACGAGGTCTCACTATGTCTCCCAGGCTTGGCTCAAACTTCTGACCTTAAATAATTCTCCTGCCTTGGCTTCCTAAAGTGCTGGGATTATAGGCATAAGCCACTAAGCCTAGCTTTAAACCATCTTATTAATTGCTTTCTACAAACTTTACTTTACTTATTTTTCCCTTTCTTTAGTTTTTCTTGATTTATTGTTTTTTTATGACTGTTTCTTTCCTTCTAGTGGTAAGTTATACGTGCTGATTTTGTGCTTTCCTTAGTTGCTTGGAAATTAACACACACATCTAAACTGAAAAAATAAATGACAATAAATAACTATCTTTACCTTTAGCATTATTTTTCTTACCTCTTTTTCCTATATTTTCTGTATATACTATATGTATATACAAAATATATATATATACACACACACACACTTCTTTTGGTTTTCTTTTTCTTTTTCTTTTTTTTTTTGAGTTGGCGTCTTACTCTGTTGCTCAGGCTGGAGTGCAGTAGCACAGTCATGGCTATCACAGCCTCACCCTGCTGGGCTCAGGGGATCCTTCTGCCTCAGCCTTCCATGTAGCTGAAACTACAGGCATGTAACACCACGCCTAGCTAATTTTATTGATTTACTATAGAGATGAAGTCTTGCCAAGTTGCCCAGGCTGGACTTGAGCCCTTAGCTCAGACAATCCTTCTCCTGGGCTCAGACAGTTCTCTCTCCTGCATCTGCCAAAGTGCTGGGATGAGCCATTGCGCCCAGTCAATTTTCTGTATATTTTTGAATCTTATTCCAGGTTAGCATAATAATATTAAGAAACTTGGCTTCTTAGTAAGTCTTTCTTAGTGATTATTTAGATCTCACATCCACAATTATGTACATCAACTTAAACTTAGTCATAAATGATGGTTTCTTTGTACTACCATTTCTCTTATCCAGTGTATTCTTTCTTGGATTTCTTTTTCTTTTTCCTAGATGACATCCTGGAAGTATTTTTTCCCAGGACAATTATGTAGCTAAACTTTGAAGTTTTATATATCTTAAATTGTTTTAGTTTTGTCCTCATAATTTAGTAATAATTTGGTAGGAAATAGATTTTTACAAAAGCTACTTTACAGAAAACATTCATGTCACATATCAGAAATTGGATGCCACTTCCTAAAGTAAGAAAGCTATGACATTATCATTAATTTTTTTTAAGTTGCAAAGCAACATTTATAGTATGTCTCATTTACCAATACGTGGATATCCATAGAGAGAGGTGGCTTAAAAATACTGTCAATAGTGATTGTTCTGATTATCTAGTGCCAGTTAATAAACTGCCCTCAAATTTACTTATGGAGAATAATAACCATTTTATTACATTCATGGATTCTGTGGGTCAGGAATTCAGACAGGACACAGCAGAGATGACTAGGCCCTCAGATGAGAAAGCCTGAAGTGTTACTCCCATGTCCAGTGTCTCAACTGAGATGACTGAAGGACAGACTCTACTGGTCCTGTCCCCATGTGCCTACATATGGCCTCTCTAGGTGGTGGGTCAGGATTACAAGAGGGAGTGCTCTAGTAAAGCCATGCTGGCCTTCTCTAACTCAGCCTCAGAAGTCACATAGGGTCATCTCACTGTACCCTATTAGTTGAAGCAGTCACAGATAAGTGCAGAATCAAGGGAGGGGACAGAGACCTGACCTCCTGATGGGAAGAGTGTTAGAGCATTTGCAGCTGTGTCTTAAAACCAGCACAGTCGTCATTGATAAGCTTGTTGCCCTAAGATGACAGGGCACAGTTTAAATCTCTTCTGTTCCTTATGTAGTCCCAGCAGAGTACCTGGTGCAGAGTAGTGTTTGATAAATGAGTGCTGAATGAGTGAGGTCTGGGCTTTCTGTTCTTTTTATACCTTTCTGTTTTATAGGGATTGTTCACAGCAAGTACATATTATCTTGTTACATAGAAACAAAATGCAAATAAAGGTTATATATTATCTGAATGTCTTAATTTCTTTCGTGATATCTAGATATTTAAATGATTTCTATGAGTTGGAGCTACAGCATGGTTCTGGTGTTGTGGGTTGGAGCATTCCAGTGACTAAAGGTATTGTGCCTTCTCCAAGAGAATCCCACACAGCTGTTATATATTGCAAAAAGGATTCTGGAAGTCCTAAAATGTATGTTTTTGGCGGAATGTGTGGTGCTCGCCTGGATGACCTATGGCAACTTGACCTAGGTAAGCTTAACTTGATTCACACTCAGGCATTGGTTATAACTAGTAGGGCAAATTAAAAAGTGCTTTGAAAAAAATTTTTTTTTTGAGTGGGAGTCTTACTCTGTCACCCAGGCTGGAGTGCAGTGTGACACTCACGGTCCCCGCAGTCTCAATCTCCTGGGCTCAGATGATCCTTCCACCTCAGCCTTACAAGATCTGGAACTACAGGCGGACGCCACCACACCTGACTTTTTTTTTTTTTAATTATAGAGATGAGGTCTCACCAAGTTGCCCAAGCTCAGGTAATCCTCTCACCTTCGCCTCCGAAAGTGCTGGGATTATAGGTGTGAGCCACCACACCCAGTTGGAAAGTATTTTTGTACAGTATTTATTGAGTTATACTTAGATTTAAGTATCAACTGAGATGTGATATGAATGGTTGCTGCTCAGTCAGGTTGAACAAATGAATCTTTGATTTATGATAGTAACTCTCCTGTGCTTCCTCTAAGTAGGATTACCATATGTCCTGATTTGCCTGAGAGAGTCCTGCTTCATGCTAAGTGTCCTGAGTTATTGTTAATAACCCCCTTTTATGCTGAAAAATGTCCTGTTGGGGTTGCTAACTTCATATGGTTACCCTATCTGTAGGAAATGCAGTATTAGCAGTGCTATTGCTGGTCAGTAAAAAACCCTTAGATAGTTCTTTCTAAACGGATGCTAGGAATAAATGATTGGAGGGTAGTATGTTTCTTATCTTTCACTATCTTCTACACAATGTGCTCTTATTTAAAATATAAAAATCTCTAATACTGTCCCTCGTTCAAAATTGGTTGCATCCTAAGCACACCTCTCTATTACAAATACAGTCATCCCTCAGTATCTGTGGAGAACTGGTTCCAGGACCAAAATCCATGGATGCTGAAGTCCTGGTATAAAATTATGTAAGACCAGGTGTGGTGGCTCATGCCTGTAATCCCAGCATTTTGGGAGGCTGAGGTGGGAGGATAGTTTTGAATCCAGGAGTTTGAAAGGAGCCTGGGCAACATAGTGAGACTCTGTATCTACAAAAAATTATCCAGCTGTGGTGACATGTGCTATTCAGCTATTCAGGAGACTGAGGCGGAAGGACTGCCTGAGCCCAGGAAGTCAGGGCTGTGGTGAGCCGTGATTGTGCCACTGTACTCCAGCCTGTGTGGCAGAGTGAGATCCTGACTCAATAAAAATATATATATATTTGTATATAACCTATGTGCATCCTCCACTGTACTTTAAATCAGAATCCCCAGTCTCCAGGCTGCGGACCTGTTAGGAACCCAGCCACACAGCAGGAGGTGAGCAGCTGGTTAGAGGAGCTCTCTCTCCATTTGATCACCAGGGGCATTAGATTCTCATAGGAGTCCAAACCCTATTGTGAACTGCACGTGCGAGGGATCTAGGTTGTGCGCTCCTTATGAGACTCTAAGCTGGTGCCTGATGCCAAAAAGATGGGAACCGCTACTTTAAATCATCTCTAGATTGCTTCTTGGCCTTTTGGCTAAGATCAAGTGTAAATCTTTTCTAGATTACTGGTAAAACCTATTAAATGTAAATACTTTGTAAATGGTTATATTTTATTGTTTAGGGAATAATGACAAGAAAAACAGCCTATGCATGTTCAGTACAGACACATTTTTTTTCTGAGCATTTTCAATTTGTAGTTTATTGAATCTGCAGATGCGGAACCCACAGATATGGAGTGCTAACTGTACTAACTAACATTCAGGTGTAAATTTCTTTTTCTTTTTGAGTTGAAGTCTCACTCTGTCACCCAGACTGGAGTGCAGTGGCCGCGCCTAGCCACCGCAGCCTCGACCTGCTGGGCTCCAGCGGTCCTTCTGCCTCAGCCTTCCAAGTAGCTGGAACTACAGGCGTGCGCTATTATACCTGACTAATTTTTTATTTTATTGTAGAGATGAGGTCTCGCCAAGATGCACAGGCATGTCTCGAACCCGTGGGCTCAGGCAGTCCACTCACCTCAGCCTCCCAAAGCGCAGGATTACAGGCTGAGCCACCAAGCCCAGCTTCAAGTGTAAATTTCTGGTTAGCAAGTTATGTCACCTGGAAATGTTAATTTTAAGATGAAGTTCAAATAAAATATTTTTGTTTCATTTTAATAAGTCCTTGTTTTATTTTCTAAAAATTATGCAAATTGAGGTAACTCGCTGTTGTTAGATCAAATTGCTAATATTATTTTTACTTTTAGAAACTATGTCATGGTCAAAACCAGAAACTAAAGGGACAGTGCCACTTCCGCGAAGCCTCCACACAGCCAGTGTTATAGGAAACAAGTATGGTATTTTTTTTGTATCTTGCTTTTGCTTTTCTAAAAAGACATCTTAAGAAGGTTGTGCACAAAGAAAAGTGATGCTATTTATTGAAAATAGATTATTAAGAGTAATAAAGTTTATGCTCACTAAAGCTACAGTAACTTACCTACAGAAGCTAAAATACTTAATGCGCCTTTTTCTTGTCACGCTGTCTCTTGTATTCTTTTCATTCTTCACGGTGCCTTGCACAGGGCAGGCGTTACATAAGTGTAAGACAGGATGTTATGAAACTGATTTGTTGTCTCTCAACAGATCGGGTGTACGCCACTCACGGCTACTCTGTGTATTTTTGGTAGTGCTTGATTTGTACTCGGGCACATACTCTTAATGATTATGCTTTAGATGGCACCTCAGAGTTATGGTTAGAATAGACTCTGTGACCAGATTGCCTGAATTCAAGTTTCAGCTTTGGTACTTGTTCTGTATGGCCTGGGGCAAGGAAATTTAATCCGTTTTTACCTCCGTTTTCTCAAGTTTACAATGGGGATTAAGGTAAAACCTACTTTACTATAGGGGCTATAATGAAGACTAATGGATTAATACATATAAAAATGCTTAGAACAGTTCCTGGTACACACAGGGCACTCCATAAGCGTTAGCTGTTACTGCTATCAACAAGTTGCCTTATTTGTGCAACACTGTGCCACGATTGGGAGGACTGTCTAAGTAGAATTTAAGGAAGTGTTTGCTCGTGTTGGGATTTTACCTTAAATGTACTGTTTCAGGAGACTACTCTTGTAATTTAGAACCTCACTAGTTCTTTTTTTAAAATAGCCTCAAAACCAAACAGAACAGTCTTTTACATTTAAACCAAATTGTGTAACGCTTTTTTTTTTTTAAGCAGCAAAACCCCTTTATAAAATGAAATATTCTTTGGAACCCGAGTATATAAAATAGATTTAAAACCAGAGCTTGGTTGGCATGATGTTGTGTGGGCCCTACTCTCTGGTGAGCCTTTCCCTTCCAGCGGCCCTTAGGCTCGTCTCAAGCACTGAGGAACACACTTGAAGGGCTTTTTGGTTATGGCAGTGACCGAAGTCACGTGGAAGTTAATCCTCTTTGCATACACTTCTCAATTTGGCTTTGGATGTCATAAGTCATTTGATTATCTATTATCTTTACTTATCACTGAAGTACTCTTGGTATAGTATAGACAATATTGATTTTCAAATGGATTATAATTGAAATATTTCTCACTTTAAATAACTTCCTGGAAAAAAAATACTTTTGCTTCTGTATTGCTTCATAAGTTTGTAAACTCTCAAAAGGAGACCACTTTATTCATCTTCTTATTCCCAATTTCTTGACAGTGATAAGTGAATGAATAGTTCTGAGGTTTTAAGCCAACAAAGTACTTTCTTAGCATTTCAAATCCAAAAAGTAAAATTAAATCAACTACTTTGTGTTGCTGTTGTTTAGGATGTACATTTTTGGTGGATGGGTTCCACATAAGGGGGAGAACATTGAGACTTCATCTCATGATTGTGAATGGAGATGTACCAGTTCATTTTCTTACCTGAATCTGGGTAAGTCTTTTAAGAGTTCCTCACTGAAATAAAATATATTAGTAAAAGAAATTGTGTTATTTTGTTGCTTAAGAGCAATAGGTTAGTCATGGATGTTTATTTTTAGATACAGCAGAGTGGACCACCCTAGTATCAGATTCTCAGGAAGATAAAAAAAATTCAAGACCAAGACCAAGAGCTGGACACTGTGCTGTTGCAATTGGCACAAGATTGTATTTTTGGAGTGGAAGAGATGGTTACAAAAAAGCACTGAATAGTCAAGTTTGCTGCAAGGATCTTTGGTATCTTGATACTGGTAGGTAAGAGTATTTAACAAATAAAAATTTCCCTTTAGGTAAATACTCAAATAATGTATGTCTTTTGAGACTTATATAAACATTACTGCTTCTCTTTCCCATAATTAAAAATGAATGGGGGCCGGGCTTGGTGGCTCAGCCTGTAATCCCAGCACTCTGGGAAGCCGAGGCAAGTAGATTGCTTGGGCCCACGGGTTCAAGACCAGCCCAGGCACCTTGACGAGACCTCATCTCTACAATAAATTTTTTTAAAAATCAGCCACATGTGGTAGCATGTGCCTGTAGTTTTTGGCTACTTGGAAGGCTGAGGCCGAAGGATCCCCGGAGCCCAGCAGGTTGACACTGGGGTGGCCGTGAGTATGCCACTGCACTCCAGCCTGGGTGATGGAGTGAGACCCTGACTCAAAAAAAAAAAAAAAAAAAAAAAGGGAAAAATAATTTATATAGATACTCTCCACTCCAGAGGTGTATGTTAATTCCTCCTTCCTTTAAGCTTGAGAAGCTCCCTTCCAAAGAATAGAGTATAGAATAGGAAAATTGGTAGCTATACAGTAGAGAAACCTGGCAAGCAACACGTTAATCAGGTGATAAATGTTAGTATCACTAATGATAGTCATGTTAATATGTGATAAGAAGATACTTTGGCCAGTACAGTGGCTCACGCCTGTAATACTTTGAGAGACCAAGGAGGGAGGATCACTTGAGGCTAAAAGTTTGAGACCAGACTGGGCAACATAGCAGCACCCTGTCTCTAAAAAATATTTAAAATTAGCTGGGTGTGCTGTCATGTGCCTACAGTCCCAGCTACTCAAGAGGCTGAGGTAGCAGGATCAATTGAGCCCAGGAGATACAAACTGCTGCACTCCAGTCTGGGCAGCAGAGCAGCCCTATCTCTAAAAAATAAAAAAACTCATAACTCCAGTCAAGCAATGAGAAAATATCAGACACACCCTAGTTGAGGGACATTCGAGATATCCTACAGAATATGTGAGCAGTACTCTTCAAAGGTTTCAAAGTGATGAAAAACAAGGAGAGACTAAGAAATAATCACAAATTGGAGGAGACTAAGGAGATGTGGTGACTAAATGCAGTATCCTATTCTGGATTGAATTATGAGACCAAAAGGGCATTAATTGAAAACTGATGAAATCTGAGTAGTCGGTGGGTTCGTTAACAGGGTCACACCAATGGTAATTTCTTCATTTTTACAAATGTGTGATATTAGGGAAACTGGTGTCATAGGGTATGGTAACACTGTTCTGCCTTTGCAACTTTTCTGCAAATCTAAAATTATTTTAAAATAAAGTTTAAAAACATACTAGAGCACTCAAAAAAAATTCTTTTTTTTTTTTGAGTTGGAGTCTCACTCTGTCGCCCAGACTGGAATGCAGTGGCTGCTTCTGGCCACTGCAGCCTCAACCTGCTGGGCTCTGGTGATCCTTCCGCCTCAGCCTTCTGAGTAGCCGGAATTACAAGTACCCGCTACCACACCCGGCTGATTTTTTGATTTATTGTGGAGATGAGGTCTCGCCAGGTTGCCCAGGTGGGTCTCGATCCCAGGCGGGCTCAGGCAATCCACTCACCTCAGCCTCCCAAAGCGCGGGATTACAGGCTGAGCCGCCGAGCCAGCTCAAAATTTTTTAAATGTGGAATTCACATCCATTTTCAGTAAATGTTGATTGATTGCCAGCTGTGCAGCAGGAATTGTTCTCATTGCTGAGAACACAGCAATGAACAGAGCTGGTAATGCCCCCACTCTCGAGGAACTCACAGCCTTAGAGGGTGTCAGGGCAGGGAGATAACGAACAATGCTCAAACGAATGAAGAGCATGAGCTCAGATTCTGGGAAGCGTGTGAAGATGCGAGGCAGTAGTGGGAAGCCCTGGGAATGGGATGGGGGCTGCTTTAGAGGGATGGTCTGAAAAGGTGGTCTGTGATGAGGGGGCGTATAGGATGCGATTCAAATGGTGAGAAGGAGGTAGAAGGGAACAGTAGATCCAGGAACTCTGAGATGGGCATACTTGGCATGTTTGCCAACAGATTTGAGCTGCGTAAACAAAGAGGAGAGTATAGGCATGGAGGTTAGAGAAGTGACCGTGGGACAGATATACAGGATCTTGACTATCATGGTAGTTTGTTATTTTTATTTATTTATTTTTTAGAGACAGGGTTCTGCTCTGTTGCACAGGCTAGAGTGCATTGGTGAGATCATGGCTCATGGGAAGCCTCAAACTCCTGGGTGATCCTCCCGCCTCAGCCTCCTGAGTAGCTGGGACTGCAGGCACACACTACCACACCTGGCTAATTTTTTTCCATTTTTGTAGAAATGGAGTTTCACTATGTTTCCCAGGCTGGTCTTGAACTCCTGGCCTCAAGAGATTCTCCTGCCTTGACCTCCCAGTGTTTACTGGGATTACAAGCATAAACCACAGTACCTGGCTAGTTTATTTTTAAAGCACAGTTATAAGTTATCTGTAAGTTTGATGGAGAGATGTGACATGATCTCATGTACATTCTGAAATGGCCACTGGCAGTTGTGTGGAAAGTAAATTCAGGATGTATTTTGGGGTTCTTATTGACAGAACTGGCTGATTAATTGGTTGTGACAGATGGTAGGAAAGAATGGAGGGTGGTAGAGTTTTTAGCTTGAATAATTTACTGCAGTGGGGAAGTCTGGGAGAAACAGCATGTGGAGAAAATTAAGAGTTCCACTTTGACCACACTAAGTGTGAAATAAGATCAACTAGGCAGTTGAATAAATAAATATCTGGAGGCTAGTAGAGAAATTAGATCTGGAAACATAATTTGTGATGTCACATGAGAAAATCAGATTATAAACTTTTTGTAAGCTCTCAATAGAAAACTTAGAAAGAGGTAGTAAGTGCCTGTAGTTCTGGCTACTTGGAAGGCTGAGGTGGAAGGATTGCCAGAGCCCAGCAGGTCGATGCTAGGGTGGCCGTGAGTGTGCCACGGCACTCTAGCCTGGGCAACAGAGTGAGACTCCAACTCAAAAAAAAAAGAAAAAAAGAAAACTTAGAAAGATACACACCAAAGTATTATCTGAGAGCTGAGACTATACCTTTTCTTCAAAGCTTTTCTCTCTTATCTGTATTTTCTAGAGTAGAATATATTGCTTTTATAGTGTAAAAACAATTTAATGTTAAAATTAAGATAACTGAAGAAATAGTGAATGGAACAACTAAATTAGAGACGAAATGCTTTCTTTTGAAAAAGAACATACTAGCAAGCAGAAAAGAAATAGACAATTCAACATGTGACTCATATTTGAAGTTGGGAATTATTAACTGAAGTCCAGAATAAACTTTAGTCTCTGAAATTGGATGAAAAGTGTATGTCTGAATTTTTGTCTGTAGGAATTTGATTATTTTAAGCAGATTACTTAAGGGATCTGTGATTTAAAAAGATCAAAAGACCATTGGATCTGAATGACCAGTTTTTTCATAAACCTTTTTGTAAAAGACTTTAGACACCAACATCCATCTAAAAATAATCATAGCCACTATCATAAGGGCAACATTTAGATAAGTTAGCATCAATTTTGGTAGGGGGGTGGAGGCGCTTCATCTTGCCTTCTTTTTTTTACAGTTAGTTAAACTTTGTACATTTGATAACATTGAAAAGAGTAACAATTCCATGGGGCATTTTATGAAAGATAGCAGCTCTTTGCTCCCCTTTGCCACATTTCCTTGCTTTGTAAGCATCTGTTCTAAACTCTGTTAAATGATTCTTTGAATATTTACTTATCGCATTATCACATGCATGTATTGTTTCTTTGATTTTTAAAAATTTTCAGTTTAGGCATAATATGCTCACTTTCTACTGTAGAAGTTCAGGATTTATCTCTCACACCAATTCTCGCCTCTCTCTCATATATCTTCCCTACTTGCCATTCTCTCAATATGTTGACTCCATAATTTTGTTAGATGGGTATTCACTGTTTATATTATGACTAGTCACAGTTGAACCTTCCTTGCACAATTTTTTATTTGCCATTGTGTAAAAATTGTCAATTTTATTGGTTTGTTTTAGATTTGTATGTGTTTACCATTGATTCAATCTGTACTCTCTATTATTTGTTTAAATCTTCTCTCATTATGGTTAGATGCATCAGATATTCTATCAAATTTCATCATCTTGAAGAAAACTCTCCTGCTCCAATCTGGGATGGTTGCCCTCTACAAATCAAGCACAGCTATCATCCTGGAGTCTCCATCATCTTCCTGGGGGATATCTTTTGCCTCGCACCTGTGCCAGATTCCCTGTTTTTGGATCCCATATTTTTCTTTTTCTTAGTTTACTTTCTCATTTTTTTGTGGAGCACATCCCAGGAAAAGGGTGCATAGGTGATATATTTATTTTTGAGATCTTGCATTGTTTGGAAATGTATTCAGTCTTTCTTCACACTTAATTGGCACTTTGGATGGAAATAGAATTCTACATTGGAAATCATTACCCTTCAGAATTTTGAAAGTATTATTGTATTCAAATTTCCAGTGTTTTTGCTGTGAAATCCAAACCACTTCTGATTTTTGGTCCTTTTGAATGTGACCTTTTTTCTTCCCCTTTCTCTGAAATTTTTTAGGATTTTTCTTATCCCCACTGTTTTTAAATTTCATGACGGTGTGCTTTCTTGCGTGTCTCTTTTCAATCCATTGTGCTGAGTACTCAGTGGGCCTTTTAGTTTAAAAACTCATGTTCTTCAGTTCTGAGAAATTTTCCTGATTCATTTTATTGATTTGCATTCTTTTGTTGTCTCTGTTTTTTCTTCATGTGACTTTTATTATGTGGAGGCTATACCTCCTGGACTTCTCTTCTTATCATCTGCTTTTGTTCAGGTCTGGGCTGCCTTAATTTAAGAAACATAAATAAACCAGCATAGAGGAATTTTCATGAGAGTAGTTGAAGGAACTAGGCTTAATTATCTTCTAAAACACAGCCATCAATTTTTTTCCTGTGAAGGACCAGATCGTAAATGTTTTCGACTTTGTAGGGCATATGGTCTCTGTAGTGACTATTCAGCTTTGCATGAAAGCAGCCATAGACAATACATAAACAAATGAGCTTATATGTGTTTCAGTAAAACTTAATTTACAAAAACAGGCATGGGCTGAGTCTGGATTATGGGCCACAGTTTATTGACTACTGTTCTAAAGATACATATTAAAAAATTAGGTAGATGTTAGACTTGTTTAATAAGGATGAGTGATAGGCTTATAGATTTCAACTCACTAGAAGAGTAACTTTTCTTATGTCACTGTCCAAGGATGGAATAGACTGCCTCTGAGTTGTGAATTCCCTGATATGGTAGGTATACAAAAAGAAAAAGAAGACAAGGGTATTGTAGAAATAATTTCAGGTCCTTTATTTTCAGCTATAAGAGTCAGTGATTGCTATTTGTTTTGCAAACGGTGGTGCTGTCTTACATCAAGGTAATTACATGTTTTGGGTAGTACACATCTTGAAAAGAAGATATTAATCTCAGAGAAGTTATATTTTTCCAAAATATTATGTCCAAGTCACATTTACTAACATTAACAGAATTTCTAGCATGTATATTCTTGGTTGAAAATTGGCTCATAAAAATGAAAATGTTAGAACTTCTAAAGAAGATAAAATAATGTAGCTATAACTCTATAATACTTGGCTCCTCCCTCATTCCCCCTAGGATTAAACACTTTTCTGAATCTCGATGACTCAGGTAGTTTGGTACTAGATTATTTTGTTTGTAGATTTGTTTGTATAAGGAGCTGCATGAGTAAATAGAATCAGAATCCCATACTTTTTTCATTTGATCTACTATTGCTGTGTTTATCTGAATAAACTTTCCTTCTCTTGGCAAACAGATGAAATATTTGTTGCTGATGTTTTCAAAGCTCTAGTTCACACAAACTATATAGGCAAACTATTGATGCGCTTGAAACTTAAATATATAATGTCATTATTGTTCTTTAGAGAAACCACCAGCACCATCACAAGTACAGCTGATCAAAGCCACTACCAACTCTTTTCAAGTCAAGTGGGACGAAGTGCCCACAGTTGAGGGCTATCTTCTGCAGCTGAACACAGACCTGCCATACCAAGCTATGTCATCAGAGTCTTCAGCAGCTCCAAATATGCAAGGTAACAGACTGTTCACACTTAGAGAAAGTGTGTATACTCATACTTTTTAAAAAATATACTGCCGAAAAGTCTGTTCTTAAGCTTTGTATAAGAAATTTTATGTTAGGTGCATGCCTGGTAAATCACAAATGTTAAGTTTCAGCTTTGAACTTGGTAGAACATATAGATATGTGGGATAGATTGTTCTTCTACAGTTCATTTTTTATGTGCTTTCTTAATTTAATATATTATTTGACTTTAGTAGATGGTTTTAACTCATTTTCATTAATAATTCAGCTTTTTTCAAACATATTTGTAACTAAATAGGCACTTCAAAAGTAAAAGCAAATTTCATTTTGCACATTCTTTCAAAAGGATTTCAATCAATGTAAGAAAACATATAAAATTTGATAAAGGAATTACTTTTTTAAACTCTAATATGTAACTTTAAAAAGATTTGATTATAATATATTTTATTGAAGGTAATTAAGGCATATCATCCTGAACCTTTCTCATTTCTACAGGAGTCAGGATGGACCCTCACAGACAAGGCAGTAACAGCATCATTCCTAACAGTGTAAGTTTAAAAAATGTATTATGGTAAATGAATGTTTATGGTTATAGTCTCAATTTTCATTTATATTTTTAGCCAATTACTCTAAAAAACAAGTCTTTACCCCTAGTTACAGATCATAATCATTGCTGAGATAAACAAACAAACAAACACAGATCCCAAGTCCTTGCCCAGATCTAGTAAAGCAGAATCTTTAGGACAATGCCAGACAGCTCTGCTTCATTGGAACTTTCACAGATCATTGTGACAGAAGCCTGAACTGAAAACCCCTGTCCAAGAAAAACCTCACTTTGTTACACTCAGCATTAGACTAATCCATTATAAATTATATTTATGTATACTTATATTTTGTCATTTCTAAATGTCACACACTTATTTTAAACATCTAACGATGTATTTTAAAATGTGTATGAAATGTATTCCTTATATGTATTTTGTTTACCAAAGAGTATCATTTGCTGAACTGAATACCTGTGTATGTGAGGCTATTTCTTGGTTATGAAGTGCTTTACAGCAGGTCTTTGTGCAGATTAATGAATATGCTTACTAAGGTTTCATTATTTTTATCTGGAAAATTGCTGTCTGTATCAATAGGCTGTTTTCAAGGAAAGTGATATAGAATATGCTCAGATGTCCTGAAGGTGACTGAGGCCCAGTAATAGGTAGGAAAGGCATGCCAGGAAGTATGTCATGACACTCTTACAGTATGTCAGGAAGGAGGTTACAAGCAAAGCTCATAGTTTCTTTTGTATTTAGCCTGTCATGTGAGACATAGTATATTTATATGTATAAATATATTGTATTTGGATTATATATTATATGTGTATCACAAGTTTAGATAGTACCATAAGGCTTATGATGAAGAGCAATAGTTTCTTGCCCTGTCCCTCCCTGTTCTTGATTCTTGCTTCCTCGAAGCAACTATTTTCAACTGTGATAGCTTTCTTTCTATGTATATTTCTTCCTCAGTATCTGCCAGGCATTAGTTCCAGCACCGTCCCCCATACCCCATACCCAAGTCCCATAGTTGACCCTGTGTAACTTGCAGATAATGAAAACTTAACTTTTTTAGTTTTTGTATCCTATGAATACTGTATTTTCCATCTGCATTTGGTTGGGGATGTGGAACACACAGATATGGAGGACCAACTGTATTTATGGGGGAAAAAATCCACATAGAAGTGAGCCCACATGGTTCAAATCCATGTTGTTCAAGAGTCAGATGTACTTCTAAATATCTTGACCATCTACTTTTGGGTCATCAATAATGGAAGATGAAAATTTGATGATCTTTTATAATATTGTCTCATCCCCTCTTTTCCCCTTCCCACATCCTTCACATATTTTTAGTTGATTTATGATTTGATATTTACAGTATGACAGTGAAATGTTCACAGGTATGCCATGTAGTCTGCTATAAGCATTGTTCCTTTCTCATACAACTTTGTTTTTCCTGGCATTAACTGCCTCACCTTTTCGCTTGCTTAGTTTTCTTCTTGCACATCATTAATTCATACTCAGATTCTCCAACAAAATTATAACACTTCTTTTTAAAACATCCAGGCACATAAGGTAGTTTATTTTTCTCCCCCTTAGACATCCCTCTTGGAGCGCCCCCGCCCCCACCCCCGCATCCTCATGCTCTGGTCTGCCCTGGTTCTTCTCTAGGCCTGCCGCACAGTTGTCAACTTGGAACTTCCATCTGTTCCATGTTAGGAATTTCCTTTATGTCTTTCCTGAGTTACAGCCCATGTTTCTTGACCACGTTTCTTTCTTTTTCTTGCTTTTCTTCATTTTGTTGCTTCACCTAGTTTCCTGAAAAATGGTTTATAAAAGATAAACTCTTTGATATCTTGCATATCTAAAATGTCTTTGGTGTATTCACATTCAACTGACAGTTTGGCTGGTTTATAGAGTCCCATATTGAATGTTTTCCCTCAGAAATGTACAGGCAGTTTTCTGGCATTCAGTGTTGCTGTTGAGAAGTCAGATGCTACCTGGATTTCTAGTCCTTTACATGTGACCTTTTCTTTCTTTTTATCCCCAGAATTCTGAAGTTTCGGCCGTGATGTGCCTTAGGGTGTAGACCTTCATTTGTTGGACTGTGTCCACTCAGTGGACCTCATTGTTCTGGAAATCATCACTGATGATTTCTCCCTCCATTTTCTCTCAGTTTTGCAACTCCTGCTGGTGGTTCTTCTGGACAGTCCTCTGCTTTTGGTTATCTGCTATTTTCTCTTTCTGTCTATTTTACTTTCCGAGAAATCTCTTCATTTTATATTACGAATTCTCTGCCTGATTTTTAAATGTATTCAACCACATTTTGAATTTCCAAAAGCCCAATCTTATTCTCTTTAGTTCTGTTGTAGCCTCTTATTCTTGGTTAATAAATACAATATCTTCCCTTATCTCTTCAAGAATTATACTTTTTTTAAAATTTGGAGTTTTATTCTGCTTTTTGCAATATTTCTTTTTTTTTTTTGAGTTGGAGTCTCACTCTGTTGCCCAGACTGGAGTGCAGTGGCCGCTCCCGGCCACCATGGCCTCGACCTGCTGGGCTCCAGCGATCCTTCCACCTCAGCCTTCCAAGTAGCTGGAATTACAGGCATGCGCTACCACGCCCGGCTGATTTTTTGACTTATTGTAGAGATGAGGTCTCGCCGCCCAGGCGGGTCTCGAACCCGCGGGCTCAGGCAATCCACTCACCTCAGCCTCCCAAAGGCGCGAGATTACAGGCTGAGCCACCGAGCCCGGCTTGCAATATTTCTTTTTTAATATTTTAATTTGTTTTGAACTTGGACTTTCACATTAGAGGCTGTAATAAAATGTCTGATGATGCTTGGCTATTCTTTCATGTTGAAAGTGAGGCTTTAAAAAGGAGCATGAGGGACCAGTCACAGTAGCTCATGCCTGTAATTCTAGCACTTTGGGAGGTCCAGGCAGGAGGATTGCCTGAGCCCAGTGGTTCGAGACCTGCCTGGGCAACTTGGTGAGACCTCGTCTCTACAATAAATCAAAAAATTAGCTGGGCATGGTAGCATGTGCCTGTAGTTCCGGCTACTTGGAAGGCTGAGACAGAAGGATCGCTGGAGCCCAGCAGGTCAATACCGAGGTGGCTATGAGTGTGCCGCTGCACTCCATCCTGGGCGACAGAGTGAGACTCTAACTCAAAAAAAAAAAAAAAGAATAGGGGAGAGGACTCTCTCTGGCCTCAGGTGCTGGGAGAACAGAGTGAGGGTGTCAACACCTCTTAAACAGGCTTCTGTGTGCCACGCTTCCAGCATGTTCTTGCACTCTGCGCCTTCGCCACCCCAGCACCATAGGCCTTCCCGGGCCCTGGGGCACAAGCAGGTCGCATCTGAGTGATTTTCCACTTAGCAGAAGGTTCTTGGCTCCCAGCTCTTTCTGTTTTACATCTTATCTACTAATGTCTCTTCTCTCATTCTTTCCTTAAAAGTTTATACAACCAGGCTGGGCGGCTCAGCCTGTAATCCCGCGCCTTTGGGAGGCTGAGGTGAGTGGATTGCCTGAGCCCGCGGGTTCGAGACCCGCCTGGGCGGCGAGACCTCATCTCTACAATAAATGAAAAAATCAGCCGGGCGTGGTAGCGCATGCCTGTAATTCCAGCTACTGGGAAGGCTGAGGCGGAAGGATCGCCGGAGCCCAGCAAGTCGAGGCTGCGGTGGCCGGGAGCGGCCACTGCACTCCAGTCTGGGTGACAGAGTGAGACTCCAACTCAAAAAAAAAACAAAAAACAAGAAGGCAAAGAAAAAATGTAATTAGGAAGACTCTTATACAAAATGTTTTATGGTAAAGAATAATGATATTTATATAAATGGAATCTTTATATGGAAAACCCAGTCATACAGAATAATTTATTTGCTTGAAAGTTCCAGAAAACAGATTTTACTTTTAGGCATCCTCAGATTTTTAGTATATGTCTGAGCTTTGGGAAAATTTGACCGGAGGCTGGGTGCCGTGGCTCGCTCCCGTAATCCTCAGCACTTTGGGAGACTGAAACAGAAGGATTGCTTGAGCCCAGGAATTCAAGACCAGCCTGAGCAGTATAGTGAAACCCTGCATCTAAGAAGAAAATTTGAGCAAATGTTAAACTCAGTTGTTTTAGTGTTCTCCCTTTTGTTACATGTGTATTTATTTGTAATACTAACTACCACTTTTTAAAATGTAGATTTTGTTTTCCCTCCATACAGTCTCCCTTTCCTCTTCAAAACTAGTCTTTTGAGCATAGAGACTAGGTGAAAAAAAATTCTTTTCTTAAAATTACTTTCTTAAAAGTTGTTGTAAAATTTAAGGATAATCCTATAGACATTAAGGATATAACTGTTAAGTGTTTTATATTTTGGCAAACTTATTTTCAAAAGCATCTAAATTGTAAATTATTTTGCTTTTTTTTACATGTATTTCTATTTCATGGAATATTGCTTTCTACAATAATTGATTTTTTTTTCTTGTAGATCAGTGATACAGTAAACAGTGCAAAAACTGACCATACAGCCATGAAAGAAACTTTAATGAAACACAAACCAGACTTTAAAGCATTGACGGATTCTAATGCGATTTTGCATTCCTCTTTGGCATCTAATGCTTCTAATCACAATAGTTGTGTGGTGGATATGCTAAGGAAAAATGAAGGTATAAGGATGACATTTTATTTTTTAAATATATTTTGACTTTTTAATTTTAAATATATGGGATACACTTCAGGGTTAGGTGTACAAATGATCATTCTGCAGATACCCCTGTTGGTGAGGTGTGCCCCACGCTCCCCTAGCAGTTTCCCACTGCTGCCATTCCTGCCCCCGTCCTCCCCTGGCAGTTTCCTACGACTGTCAATCCCTTTCTTATAGTATTACGGTCTGCTTGTTTCTGTGATAGATCACTCAGTACTATAACCTCGAAGTCCATCCAAGTTGCTGCACAGTTCATAATTTTGTCCTTCTTTATGGTTGCATAATATTCCATCATGTATATGTATCACATTTTTTTAATCCAGTCCTCTTTATTCTTTATTCTTTTTTTTTTTTTTTTTTTTGAGTTGGAGTCTCGCTCTGTCGCCCACACTGGAGTGCAGTGGCCACTCCTGGCCACCGCAGCCTCGACCTGCTGGGCTCCAGTGATCCTTCCACCTCAGCCTTCCGAGTAGCTGGAACTACAGGCGCGCACTACCACACCTGGCTAATTTTTTATTTGTTGTAGAGATGAGGTCTCGTCAAGTTGCCCAGGTGGGTCTCGAACCCTTGGGCTCAGGCAGTCCTTTCACCTCGGTCTCCCAAAGTGCTGGGATGACAGGCTGAGCCACCGAGCCCGGCCTCCAGCCCTCTTTTGATGGGCAGCACGGTTGGTTCCATATTTTTGCCATTGTGCATAAACATGCATGTGCAGATATCTTTTCCATAGAGTGATTTGAGTTCCTCTGGGTATATTCCCAGTAGGGGGGTTGCGGGGTCATATGGGATTGCAGGGTCCTAGATCTTTGAGGAATCGCCACCCTGGTTTCCACAGAGGCTGTACTGGTTTGCACCCCCACCCGCAGTGGAGAAGCGTCCCCTTTTCACCGCATCCCCTCCAGCATCTGTTGTTCTTTGAGTTATTGATGGTGACCAAGGAATGGCATTTCAGACTCAAGTTTTTTGTAAAATTGGTAGGGAGTTTTAGAGTCATTGAAAAAGTAAGTGTTGTACAGGTTTTTGGTTTTTTCCCCTTTTTTTTTAAAAGCAGGATAAATGAGTAGCTTTATTTAACAAAGAATAGTACACTCTCAAGAGTGGAGAGTGGGCAGAAACAGCCTACCATGTTGTACATTTTTGATCCATTTTCCTAATAATAAATACCTACCATATTGAAGCTAGCTAGAATGATATCAAAATTCCAAGTAAGCGCTTATCTGACTATTAATGATTATTTATGAGTTAAAGAATTTAAGTGGAGCAAATTCTTATATGACATTTGTGGTTTGACACTGTGTTAGTGTCATTATCCCATTACACTATTTTATTTTCTTAGCACTTTTCACTACCTGAAATTATTTATTTTGGGCAGGGATTATTTTCTGTCTTGTTTACTTCTATATTCCCAGCACCTAGATTCGTGCTAAATAGTATTAACTTAGTAAATATTTGTTTAGCAAATACCTGTTATTCTTAGAGAGTTCACTTTTGAGAATTGCTGATTAGCTCCCTATCTTAATGAGATAGCTTATAATTTGGTGATACTTATAGTTGACTATTCTCATGCCATTTGAGATATAGTAAGCATTGCCTCTGGTTTTAATAACTAAAGTATTTTATAAATCTCATTCTGATATATCCCTGACAAAGGAACATGACTGTAGTTTTCATTTGAAAAAATTATGACAGCTGATGTAAATCTAATTCCATTTCAGTGATTCAAACTTAATAAGATGAATAACTTGGTAAGATGAATATTCTTTTTATTTTCATTTTTCTTTGTATGTTTCAAATAAAATTATTTAAGGAAAATAATTTCCTATAATTTTTCTCCTTTCATTACTTGCGGAAGAAGAGAGCTCTCTTTCTCTTTTTTTTTTTTAAACAACAATGAGTCACCCCTTCAGATCCCCTCCCACTGTGGGAGCTTTTCTGTTTTCTCAATAAATCCTACTTTCTCACCTTAAAACAACAACAACAACAAGGTCTCATCATGTTGCCCAGGCTGGATTTAAACTCCTGGGCTCAAGCAATCCACCTGCCCCAGCCTCCCATGTAGCTGGGACTAAAAGCCTGCCACTCTCCCCGTGAAACTCTTTTGTTTCACTGGCTTTCCAATATAAGAGAATCATTTAGTCATAACTATTTTTTTTTTTTTTTTGAGTTGGAGTCTCATTCTGTTGCCCAGACTGGAGTGCAGTGGCATGCTCACAGCGACCACACCCTCAACCTGCTTGGCTCAGGCAATACTTCTGCCCCAGCCTTCCAAACAGTTGGAACTACAGGCATGTGCCACCATCCTCAGCTAATTTTTGGTTTATTGTAGAGACGAGGTCTTGCCAAGTTGCCCAGTCTGGTCTCAAACCCTGGGCTCAGGCAAGCCTCTTGCCTTGGCCTCCCAAAGTGCTGGGATTATTACAAACTTGAGCCACCATGCCCAACCTTAGTCATAACTATTAAAGCTTGCTCTTGGACTTCAATTCAAATTTCGTTCTAATAGTGATCTTCTATATATTTAACTTACAAAGAAATTTATACTCTGAAAACAAATATGAGCTTTAAGATTTCAGAATCTTAATGCACTCTAAATCCTACATTGTAAGGTAGTTTGAATAAGATTAGTAGTAGGCACATGGGAAAATCAGAGTGGTTGGACAGTGATAATTTCTGGCACATCAACCATTTGAATGTGTCACTGACTGGCAACTCAGTCCCAGGTTAGCAGGAAGAATTTGACTTTTCTTCTGCAGGTCTGAGTAGCTATTGAACAGTATGTTCAAAAAGTGGAGGAGCCGCATGATTAGTTTTAATTTAGTTTTGTGGGGTTTTTTTCCTGAAAAAGTACTCTGGCCTCACCATCAGGAAGAGCTATAGTATAGGAAATGATTGGGAGACTTTTTAGGGATTCTTTTAGGACTCTAGGAGATGCCTAGAGACTAAAGCAGTAGGTAAGATGGAAAGAAGATAATACATCATTTAAGAGACTTTTAGAAAGTTGCGTCTCTTAGACTTGGCATCTGGTTGGATATATTAAATAAAAATGAGTTGACTATGACTCCCAGTTTTTTGGGTTGTAAATCAGAATGGATGATGATATTTTTTGTCAAGATAGGAAATACAGGAGCAAGAGCAAATTTGGGGAAAGATAGGTTCAACTTTGAACTTACTGTTTTTAAGGGATTTGAAGAACATATTAGTAAAGGTTTCTAATGGGTAGTTGTATATGTAGGTCTGGAGTCTAGGAGGCAGTCTTAGGCTAGAAACATAAGCTTAAAAATTAAGAGTATTGGCAGGGCTTGGTGGCTCAGCCTGTAATCCCATCACTTTGGGAGGCCGAGGCAAGTGGATTGCCTGAGCCCACGGGTTCAAGACCAGCCTGGGCAATGTGGTGAGACTTCGTCTCTACAATAAATCAAAATAAGCCAGATGTGGTAGCATGCACCTGTAGTTACGGCTACTGGGAAGGCTGAGGCGGAAGGATCACCTGAACCCAGCAGGTTGATGCTGGGGTGGCTATGAGCATGCCACTACACTCCAGCCTGGGGGACAGAGTGAAACTCCGACTCAGAAAAATAAAAAATTAAGAGTATCTGAAATGTAAGCTTCACAAGAGCAAGAATCTTGTTGACTTGTTCACTGCGAGATTCCCAGCATCTAGCACAGTGCCTACGACATATATATTTGAGGGACAGTTGATTCCCGAATGGTATTTAAAGCACCGGACAAATATGTAAAGAGAGAAAAGAAGAAGGAACACTGGCATCTAGACAGACATTTGAAGAAGAAAAGCCAATTAAAGAGAGACTGAGAAGAGGCTCATAGAGGGTTAGGAAAAGAAAAAAGACTGGCATTTTTTCCCCTCTATTGTAGGCATCACAATTTGTAACCGTACATTTACTTGCGTATGAATATCTCTCTACCATATGACTGTAAGTTCATGAAACATGAGCCATGCCTGTCTTATTTCACCATCATAGAAACCCACACAATAACTGATAGATAGTAAGTCTTCAATGTTATGGAATGAATGAATCTAAGTCATAGGAAGCAACAGCTTCAGAAAGGAGTACGTGGTCCACATTGTTTACATTGCAAAAAAAGTCAAGTAAATGAAAATTGAAAAGTACATCCTAGAAATTGCTGGTGTTTTTCAGAGCCACTTCGTTAGAGTAGTGCACGAGAAACCACATCTTGAGGAAGGTTAAGGAAGTAGAAATTGCCCTGAAGGGAATCAGCTAGGGGAGATGGCAATTTGAGGGGACTTGTTGGGTCAAGGAAGATGCATGTTGTTTGCTTCAGAGATTTGATAATTTTTATGGGCTGAGGGCTAAAAGCTATCTACGAATCTGAAAACGCTGAAGAGAAAGTAATGGTTGATGAATGAGAGTCCCAAAACATGGGGGAAGGAATGGAACCAAGAGCACAAGAGGACAAACTAAGCTTCCTTGGGAGAGAGGTCAGCAAATCCTCTGAAGAGGAGGCGGAAACAGGGAGAATGGGCATAGTCATAAATACATTTCTAGTTTAGGGTAGAAGAAGGCAGAAAATGGAGGGAATTCATGCCTAGTGACTTCTTTTTTTTTTTTTTCTTCCTAAAATGGAAGGCAAGGCCATAATCTATGATTTAGTAAAGAGTCAAGAACAATGGTTCAATGTTTAGAAAGAGGGAACTGAGAAGTTGGGTATTTTTATGCATATAATACACTTTATTTTTCTAAACATTTTATGCATAATGGCTAATTCACACTAATGGCATTTGCTTTGTTCATATATGATTTTAAAATTGAGGGTACCAAGTATCTGCAGGTATTATATGAATAATTGACCTTTTCCTTTTATTTTAGGTCCTCACACTTCAGCAAATGTAGGTGTTCTAAGTAGTTGCCTGGACGTAAGAACAGTAATTCCTGAAACTTCTGCATCCAGTACTGTTTCCCGCGCACAAACTATGGTAACCCAGCAGACCATTAAAACTGAGTCATCCAGTACAAATGGGGCAGTTGTTAAAGATGAAACTTCACTCACAACAATCAGTACCAAATCTGAAGGTTTGAAATATGTTTCACGTACTGTATTTTGAACCATTTATGTATATAAATTCATCAAACTTATTTATCTTAGATGGGAGTTGCATTTCATCTTAAATTAAATCCTATATAAACAGATAAAGCATTTCAGTTAAAATCATTTTATAAAATATTCTCTGCTTTCTTACATAAAACTTTTAGCTTAGCACACACTATTGAAATACAGTCAGAATGTATCTTTCCCACTGAATAAATTTGGCAGACTTTTTTTTTTTTTACAAGATTGGTTCTAGGCTGTGGATTAATAATTCTTTCAGCTAGATTGATTTCTTGTTTTGTAAATTTTTATTCTTTTGCAATAGGAATTGTATTTTCCATCTTTGGTAAACAGTTTCTGAAATTTGAGCTAGTGATCTAACTAAAGTCATGACTTTATGAATTATTTTGAGTGAAAGAGTCCATATTATTAATTATTGTGAATAATAGTATAATACCCTCTGGCTATTTTTATTGTGGTAATATACACATAAAATTTATTATTTTAACCATTTTAAAGTGTACAGCTTGGTGCTATTAAACATTTATAAATTTTATTTTATAATTTATAAATTATATCCTAATGTGTCTGTTTGACTTGTTTAATTTTTAGTTGATGACATATGTGCACTGCCTGCAACTAAGATCAGCCGTATAGAGATGCATGTGGCAGCAATGCCATTTCCTGTAAGTACATGACCTGGTGATTATGCATGTTCACAGGTGGTTATGTGCTTTCAATGCTGAGCAACTTCTAAATAATTTCTAATAAGGTTCTCATGTCTCATTTAGTAACCAATTGTCTTACATTTAGAAATAAATAATTGAATAGGAAAATGTTCACAGTATAATGTTTAGTGAAAAAAGCTGAATCAAAAAAATAGCATATATGCCGTGTTCTTAATTTTGTTTAAAAAAACATGCAGTACATATGTTTATCCTCTCACATGCACCCACTCATATCCAACATCAAAATGCTGCATGACTCTCCATGTGTAGGGCCACAGATAATTTTTACTTCTTTATGCTTTCTATATTTTTCTATAATGAAATTTTACTTCTGTAACCAGAATTATGTATATATGTACATATGCATATATATGTAAATTACATTGATGGTTAAAAAATAAGATGTGTTTGTAACATAAAACTTGGACTGCTCTGTTGCTAGCTACTTACTAGGAGCACAATAGAATATTGCAATATTGGGTTGACATACATGTAAGGTTGCCCGATAAGCTCTTATATTGGGTTGCTTATGAAAGGCCAAAACTGGTCTGTATGGCACCAAACTTAAAATGCCAGGAAAGTACCTTACAAATACACCAGGATTGTCTTAATTAGATAAATAAATGTAAGGATAGTACATATGTATATATACTTTCTGGGGTTTTTTTTAGTTATTAGTCATTTCAACTTTATTGCTATGAGCAGTTTTTATTTGACCTAATAGTTACCTTTTAGAATCTTTAAGCATTGCCTATAGTTTTAAGTTTTCTTTCAAACATGATTTTATGGATTTTAATAATATATTTACCTTTATCAGCTTTCATCTTTCCAGAATGTTAAGTCCTGGTGTTCTTAGACTCTTCTCAGGGAAGGATTATTAAAATGAACTTTTTTTCTCTTGAATCTGTTTTGCGATGCATTAGCCAGAATCGTATTTGTTATCTCAGTCGGAGCTAGTTGTTTTATGAAAGTTGTTAGAGTTTTTACAACTTTAAAAAATGAAAGCAAATTTAAAGCTACTACTTTTTTTTTTTAATTTAAAAGACTCTTCTAGTTAGCTCACTTTGTCATGTGTGATAGCCTAAATAACAAAAAAATGTGAATTATAAGCATGTACCTCTGCTGTTATATATTTAAGACAGAAATAAATAACTGAAGTGCACATTTGTTTTGAGCTTCTGGAAACAGTGTCTCATTTATAAAGAAGATGGCTTAAAAAAGGTTAGTTCCAGGGATAAGTATAATTCACTTATCACTAAAAGTAGCTTAAGGTTGAGGAAGTTTATTTGTTTTAAAGCAGGGTAAAAAATGTAAAACTGTTTAATCTACTCCTCCTTAGTATATACTAAAGTATATTCAAATTGCATTTTAGTTTTGAACATTTTTTCTCCTTTTAGGTTTGGAGAATCACAGGTATTTCAAGTGCAGAGATCACTGAATTTTGCTAGTTGTTTCTGAATCTAAAAATCAGCCAGCTTGGAACGAATTTTTCTTTATTTGCTCCTTTTGGAGTAAGTTGTAATGTCACACTAAAGGAATTACATTTCTGAGAGTCTCTGAAATGACAGTGTTCTGTAAAACAGCTGGCGTTTTAACTTGTCACTGATTGGAAAGCATGCTAACTCCGGCAAGGCTGGTAGTACGGAGCCACTGACTTGGAGAATGCTCATCACTCCGGGTTGATTTGGCATCCCTGTCTCACTGTCAGTTACTTAATATGTTATTATTTACTGTGAGTTATTAATGTTGTTGTGTTTATCCATATACTACTTGTAGATCACTGCATGGACTTATTAAATCTTGGAATTGTTCATATACTCAAGAAGAGTCTTCATAAATTTTTATTTCTCTAAAATTAGAAAGAGACTCCTTCACATCCAGTGGCCACAATGAAAACAGGAGAACGACAATGGTGTGATGTGGGAATTTTTAAAAATAATACAGCTTTGGTGAGCCAGTTTTACTTGCTGCCAAAAGGGAAGCAAAGCATCTCAAAGGTAGCTATTGATACATGTTCTACACTGAGTCAAAAATTAGATTTTTCTCTACCAATAACTTGGAGAAGGAAAAAAAGCCAATAAGAATGAGTTTTGGACCAGGCTCGGTGGCTCAGCCTATAATCCCAGCACTTTGGGAGGCCAAGACAAGTGGAGTTCCTGAGCCCACTGGTTCAAGACCAGTCCGGGCAGCTTGGCAAGACCTCGTCTCTACAATAAATAAAAAATTAGCCAGGTGTGGTAGTACACACCTGTAGTTCTAGCTACTTGGAAGGCTGAGGCGGAAAAATCGCAGGAGCCCAGCAGGTCGACGCTGGGGTGACCATGCGTGTGCCACTGCACTCCATCCTGGGTGATGAAGTGAGACTCCAACTCAAAAATAAATAAATAAAATAAAAAAGAGAGTTTTTTGGGTTTTGTTTTTTTTTAAACAGCCCTCAGGCCACTTAAATGAGTGAAACTGGGATCTGTCCACAATGTGTGTAACTGAGAGTTCAATATACCAAGTTATCTTGTACTTTTTAAGGCTCTTTTTATAGACTGTATCACAAATATGTTATTTAAAAAAATCTTAAAGCCTTGTGCAGAGGAGCATGCCTGTGGTCCCAGTTACTTGGGATGCTGAGGCAGGAGGATCAGTTGAGCCCAAGAATTCGAGACTGTCATGTGTTATGATTGCCTGGTGAATAGCCACCACGTTCCAGCCTAGGCAACATAGCAAGATCTCATCACTTAAAATTAAAAAAAAATCTTATACATGATGAGCTGGGTTTTGAGTCATAAATAATCTAGTCTGACCAGCACAGGTAAGAATTTTTTGAAACATTTCTAATTTTTTTTTTTTTTGAGTTGGTGTCTCACTCTGTCACCCAGACTGGAGTGCAGTGGCCGCTCCCGGCCACTGCAGCCTCGACCTGCTGGGCTCCGGCGATCCTTCTGCCTCAGCCTTCCAAATAGCTGGAACTACAGGCACGCACTACCACACCCGGCTAATTTTTTTATTTTATTGTAGAGATGAGGTCTCGCCAAGTTGCCCAGGCAGGTCTCGAACCCGCAGGTTCAGGCAATCCACTCACCTCAGCCTCCCAAAGAACGGGATTACAGGCTGAGCCACTGAGCCTGGCTTAATTTTTTTTTTTTTTTTTTTGAGTCAGAGTCTTGCTGTGTCTCCCAGGCTGGAGTGCAGTGGCACGCTCACTGCTACCACAACCTCAACCTGCTGGACTCAGGCCATCCTTCTGCCTCAGTCTTCCAAACAGCTGGAACTATAGGCATGTGCCACCATTCCGGCTATTTATTTATTTATTTGTTGTAGAGATGAGGTCTCGCAATGTTGCCCAGGTTAGTCTTGAACCTGTGGGCTCAGGCAATCCTCTTGTCTCTGCCTCCCATACTGCTGGGATTACAGATGTGAGCCACTACATCCAGCTTCTCTAATTTTTTAAGCAGTGTGTTTAAATGAGAATGGAACACTTTATTCCTATTGAGAGTTTTTTTATTCCTGATTTTACAATTTAAAAAAATCTAAAAGCTATCGAATACAATCTAATTTTCCCTTGATTTTGAAACCTCTTAAAGAGGACTTTCTATATATATAAGCTATTGTATGTATATATATATATGTATATAAATAAGATATTAACCCTCTAAGAATTGTGAAGTAGATAATAGCTCCAAAACATATTGAAAATTTTTTTTTATGAGGTGGAGAATTTCTGAGAGAACTGCCAAGAAATAGATTCAGTTTGAATCTCCTTAAGATATGTCCAAATGAGGAATATATCATTTATCATTCTGTTTTAGTTTCTTTACTATTAACTTCTTTTTTTTCCCCAAATACTACAAATCATGACTTTTGGGGAATTTTTTTCCCTCTTTTAATTTTTATTTAAAAATTGGGGTACAATTCAGGGTTAGGTATGCAAATACTCACCATGCAGCTACTCTTTTCGATGAGGTGCACCCCCCGCTTCCCCAGGCAGATATTGACTACTGTCAATCCCACCTCCCCGCCCCCTCACCTCCCTCCCCACAGTTTCCCACCACTTTCAATCCTTTTCTTACTTTACTATTAACTTCTAATGACCTTCTTTTTTGTATTGATTTTTTCTAATTCCTGACAAAAATAGAAATTCTGGTTAATAATGTGAATTATGCCTACTGAAATTTTTTACATGTAGTTAGATTTCATTTATAAGGAAATTACCATATCTAAGGGTCTAGTAGCCACCTGATTTTTCTTAAAAGAAAAAAAGAGCCTAAAATTTAGAGTCAGTAAACTTGGATTTGAATCACTGGCTCCAGTACTCAACAGTATGACATTCGCAAGTCATTTGTTTAATGTCTCTTAGACTCAAGTTTCCTTGTCTATAAAATGGTGATGACTGTGAGAGTTAGGGAAAACATGTAAAATATGTACAAATTGTTTGAAAGTCATAAATGTTATTCTCTTCCTACGTAGAGCATGTAATCTAATTATTTAACATTTATTCAGTGTCTGCCGAATATTAATTTTAAAAAATACTCAATACAAAATATTAGTCATTTCTTTTCTGTCAAGCTTGCCTACCTTTCTCTTCCTGGCCTATTATTTGACAGTAATTTTGCTGAGATTTTTGCTCTAAGTTTTACAGAGGCATGCAGTAGTTGTTACTTTGTTTATACTAGTTGTCAATTTTTTTCGGTTTTCATATTGTTCATTTGTAGAATACTCTCACAATTCTCTTTATGATCAGTGGCTCTCAACTAGAAAGGGCAGTTTTCCTTGGGATGAGAATCAGGGTAAAATTTGGATAAGATTTATGGGTTTAATTGCTTCTGTGCTGGAGAGTTCATTCCATATGTGAGAGAGGAAAAGACGTGTAGAACTAGGACCTTAGAACAAACATAATTCACTCTTTAAAAGTTTTGCTGTTTAATGGAAATTAAATAATTTTAAAATGCTTAATCGTAATAAATGAGTTATTGCCTTTTCTTTGACTCTGTGTGTGTGTTACATTTTAGGTAGGAAATGCAGACGTCCCTGACTACAGTTTACTTAAGAAACAAGATCTTGTTCCAGGCACAGGATACAGATTCAGGGTTGCTGCAATCAATGGTTGTGGAATAGGCCCTTTCAGCAAAATCAGTGAATTTAAAACTTGTATTCCTGGTTTTCCTGGAGCTCCATCTGCAGTCAGAATTTCAAAGGTGAGATGTCAACTCAAGACTTGATGGTGATTTAAATTATTTGAAGCTTCATATGTGAAGTAAACTTTCAGTTCAAAATTCTTACTAGCATCTGATAAATGGAGAGGTATTTAAAGGAATGGATTACAAGTTTAAAAAATAATTTTTGCTAATTACTCATGATATTTTATAATATCAAATTTCAAGCAGAATTACAGCATCCAAATCACAGAAGGGCAGGGAAGTCCCATATGCTTTTTAAGTTGCTCCTTGTTATGGAACCAAAAAATTTGTGCTGGAGAATTTTAATAGAACACCAGAAACTGTATTATATTTTATCCAAAGTTCCTTAGAGGAGAAAACATCTGCTTCTAGGGAAGAAAAATTCCCTTTTTGGGGTATTACAGGCAAACATTTAAGCCAACCGTGTTTTTGAAAAGTGCGCATAAATTAAACATTGTAGAACCAATTAAAATAGGTTTTTAAAAATCAACAAAAACGATCTAACATCTAATGCAATTTAATGAAAATGAGCATTTTGTGCTCTAAAGATAGACTCAACATGATAAGTGATAATAGAGAAAAGCTAAGGGCCTTTACCTGTTTTTTTTCCCCCCCTCTGCAAGAATGTTGAGGGCATCCACCTTTCCTGGGAGCCTCCAACTTCACCTTCTGGAAATATTTTGGAATATTCGGCCTACTTGGCTATCCGCACAGCACAGATACAAGATAACCCAAGTCAGCTTGTGTTTATGAGGATTTACTGTGGTCTGAAGACATCATGTATTGTAACTGCTGGGCAACTTGCAAATGCACATATTGATTATACATCCAGGCCTGCCATTGTGTTCAGGATATCAGCAAAGAATGAAAAGGGATATGGACCAGCAACACAAGTTCGGTGGCTTCAAGGTAACAATAAGAAAGCACCTTTAAATTGATTTTTTTTTTTATTGAAGCTATTGTGCTGATAATTATTTATTAGTAACTGGTTATGAAGATTTGTCATTTAAAAAAGTATTCTCTGTATTTCTAGCAGTTATGAACTTGAGTTTGTAAATTGTTCTTAAAATGTATTTGCTCAATTCTAGATCCAAATAAAAACAGAAAAGAAGCAAAGACTCTCTGAAAATTAGTATATGGGTTCTTCCTTACAGGTATAGCTCTTTTATAAAGAAAAATTTTGAAATTAAGGTAAAAGCTAGAAAGCTTTATTACCCCAATATATTTTATAAAGGCTTTGTGACCCAGTCGTCCCGGAGTTGTTGAGATGACTCTGGTAACTGGCTGTGGTATACTCTGCTGCATCTCTACATTGTAAATGCCCTATCTTTAAGCACTCCCTCTATCTTTATTCCATATGAGCAGTGGTCCCTGAACAACTATCTTTTATTGGATGGTATTTATGATACTAATTTTAGTAGTCATTTGATTCCTTTGTTTACAACTAGCAGAGAACTTAGACATTTAAAAAGAAAGAGAGGCAACTTCAGAAACTCTGCTTTTGAATTTTTATTATTTTTTACTATTTTTCAAGAATCATGGTAAAATACAAAAAGAATAATGAATTTTCTTGATTCTTGCCTGATATATTTTTGGCCAAAGCACTTATCTGGCTCTCATTTTCCTCGTTAACAGAGGAGGGAGGTCGAAGAGTTTACCTTTAAGGTCCCTTTCAGCACTAAAATTGTGTATTTTCATTAGAAGTAAAGTATATTCCTGAACATTTCCATCTGTCTTAATGACTCTAACTTTGCTGTTGCTAAAATTAAAACCTTCAGTTTAATTTTCAAAATTAGTTATGTCCTCCTATTGCAGAAACAAGCACCTTAACAGGACACAAGTTTTGAAATCGTGTTTTAAACCTTTGTAAGATTTTTGTAAATGCTCTAAATGTTTTATTTTTGCATTGTTTTTACCTCAAAATTGTATAAACTTTTTTACAACAAAAATATAAGCATTAGACAGCTAACTCAGGTTTCATTACAACCTTAAAGATATAAATAGGCATTATGAACACTCTGCTACAGGGAACTTATAAACCTGTTAGGAATTTCATGGTTCCACTGCCTATTCACATCTGGAGTGAACATGCAGAGCAATAATTGCAGAGAAGCTATTTCAAACTAATAGCACAGGAACTGAGAGGCGTAGATCTGTCTTTTTTATACCACATAACCGGACGCCAGTTTAGGTTGCCTGAGTAGCTATGTCCTCAAATTTCATGTATAATACCCCCAGCAAAGATGGATTTAATTGTGTAGAATTGATATATATGTGTGTTCTAGTTACTAATTTAAAGTGTATAGAATATTTTAATATATGATTTTTGTAAAGAACTGGGATTTTTATACTACAGTATTTGTAATGAATGTGTCTCACTAATTAAGTTTCTCTTGAAGAAAATATGCAAGCTGTTAGACACATAATGAGTGGTTTCCAAACTCTAAAGATAAAATAAATGCACTACTGTGGTGTGGTTAGAATACCTTTTTTGTGGCTGTATGAATCTTTAATCTCTAAATGTGTATTTTACAAACCATGTTTACAAGGAGCTTCTCTGGTGTGTTATCCCAGCAGCGCCCTTGGTGAGAGCTTCGTTCTGCATGTGTTTAATTCATATGCTTTGCTTTTGGCATATGCTTGCTTTTTGCACTAGTAGAATTTTAACTGACCTCATTATTATGTGTGTAGTCATTTGTATAGCTTCTGTAATGTGTCTCATATAGGCTAAACAAATACTTAACCAAAGTTAAAATACATGGCAAGCAGTTTTGCACATATTAAATGCTAGGGTTTGTTGTGTATATGTGTGTGCTTAGTTATAAAAAGAATAAGAATGAAGTTATAATAAGTGTATGTTTCAAGACCAATTACTTTATCTATTTGCTTTAATAGAAAAAAAATCTGGCTTTTCCCCCTTCTTTTCTGCATTAATTAACAATTTGCATCATGAAGCACTTCTTTTAATGACAAGGAATAAGTTGATTTTAAGCAAAGGATAGAGTATGTGTTTGAGTGTGCACAGCTATACCTATTTAGTATTTGATTTAGTTTACTTTGTTTAAATGCCTCTATTTTCTAGATCAGAGGGTGAATATGAACCTGTGATTCTAACATATGACTTACTTTTTTAGAGGGAAGAGTGGTCTTTCTATGCCAAGGGATTTGTTAAAATAATAAATGTTTTCACTTTGAGAATTAACCTAGATTCTCTTATTTTTTGGCATTTGTATATTAAACACCAGTCATGTTTATTTCTCTTTTAAGGGATTGGTGACTGAAAATGCCATTAGGAACTCTCTGTGGCTTTGACATTGGTGGTTACTAAGAGATCTTAGAGCTGTGTGTTCATGAACGGAATGGGATGAACAACAAGAGAAGTGTAGCATGTTTAGTTTCTTATGACTTGCAGTGTCTTCATGGAGATCCCTTTGTGTAGCAGTAAGCTGTAACATGCATTTGTTTCATAGGAGAATTTACATTGAGTTAAGTGCTTTTTTCCCCCAGTTGGATAAGCAGTTCAGCTGTCACAAGCCTTTGTGCCACAGTCCTCTTCCTGCGTTCCCTGTGTCTTTGGTTCACATATTAGTAAAACCAACTAACAAACAACAGCAACTATATATATATATATTTTTTTTTCTTCTTCTTCTTCTTCTTCTTCTTCTTCTTCTTAAGTTGGGGTCTCACTCTGTCAGCCAGGCTGGAGTGCAATGGCACAATCATGGCTCACTGCACCCTCAACCTCCTGGGCTCAAATAATCCTCCCATCTGAGCCTCCCAGGTAGCTGGGACTACAGGCATGCACTGCCACATCTGGCTAATTTTTTTTATTTTTTGTAGAGAAGAAGTCTTGCTATGTTGCCCAGGCTGATCTTGAACTCCTGGGTTCAAGCAATCCTCCTACTTTGGCCTCCCAAAGTGCTGGATTACAGGCATAAGCTACAATGCCCGGCCATAAAAATATTTTTGATGTTGCATGCTCTTAGAATTATGTTTTTTCTAAGATATTGCATTGCTACATTTTAGTTTAGCAAACTTCTTTGGCAGTTTAATTAGAAATAGGATATATATAAATTCAATTTTATCTGCATTTTTTAAAAAATTGAAATAATCTAACTGCATGTACAAGGCCCCTTTGCCCCATTGCCCAATTGCATAAATATAATCATTTATAGGAAAGTAAAACTGGTGATCTGTTACTTCAAAGATTTGTAGACTAGCAAAGATTCGTTCTAAGTAGAAAAATGGTCTACTATGAGTATAAATATTTTTATTTAAAAAATACAGCACTTGTAACATAAAAATCATTTGTAACAATGGATATGAAGAGATTGTTAGTATTTAAAATTATTGTAGTCATCTGATCATACATGAAATAGGTGGCAAAATAGACTTGGTCTTTGACCAGTTAAGGTGTAACTGACTGTTGTGTTTTCCAGGACTGATTTTAGGCAGTTTTATGTATCGTGTACCAATGATATGTAAAATAAAGCACCTTTTCTACTGTAAACAATTACAGGTGTTATTTATTTTGAACTACATGAAGGAAAAATTAGTGATGGCAGAGTAAATCTGTAGAAATGTTGATCTTATATTACTCATTTAAGGTAATATAGGCAGCCTCTAAATTAAGAATGAATTGTGTAGCCGGGCGTGGTAGCGCACGCCTGTAGTTCCAGCTACTTGGAAGGCTGAGGCGGAAG